TCCCATCCAGAACCTTCTGAGGTGGGGCATTCCCACTAGAAAGGACAAGCAGACCAGCCTGGAACAGCTAAAGCAACAGAAGATAGATACATTTTCAAAGAAAGGTCATCAGGAAAAACCCAAAACAAAAATGGCAGTATGACTGGCTACTACAAGAATAAGCAAGCTGTTCGCCAGGAAGCAATCAAGGCAAGCAATCAAGTTCCTTCAGGACAAAGGCCCCTCTAAGACTGAAACTCAAAGGCAACACATAAGCAGGCATGCAAGCTTGCTGGAGACCATGTTGGTCTACTGGAGAGTAGAAGAGGGAGAAAGGCAGCTATGAAGAAATGGGCTGAGTTCAACCATGGTACACACACTCCTGTTGACCTGGAGATGAGATAGAGAAGAGGAAGGGCTGGTTGGTCCAAAATGTGGTGAGACCTTGGGACACCTGAGCCCATGAACAAGGACATACCCACAGAAGGCTAGAGCTGAGAGTGAAGCATCCAGCTGATATGAAGTGAGGGGAGATGCACAAGAACACCAAACTTGCGATAGTACCCATTTGGCCTACGATGGCTTGATAACCAGAATTCAACTAGAGGACGATTTAAAAAAAAAAATTTTTTTTTTTTTTTAAATAAAGGAAACAAGGGTAAATTGCTTCAATTTGATGAACTTGACCTATACTCATGGAGGTGTTGTTGTTGTTAAGCGCTATCGAGTCGGTTCCGACCCATAGCCACCCTGTATAGGGTTTCCAAGGAGCGACCGGTGAACTTGAACTGTCATTCTTGCAGTTCTAACTGGCTTGCTTTGCAGTCTGGCGCATTAACTCACATGCCACACCAGGATTCCATGGAGGTAGTAACTTTAAATACCAACAGAGAGGCAAGGAGTCTTCACATCAAGTTATCAATGCTATCGCCTCTGTACACAGGGTAGATAGGGACGGGCAACTTAGATTGTGGCTACCAAAAATGTGGGGTCGATAAAGGTACAAGCTTTCAAGGGGGAGTTTAGTTTAAGAGTGTGTGTGGGGGGGGGAGGAAGAAAAAAAAAAAAGTGTGTGGGGAAAGTAAGAATCTCCACTGAATAGTTTTCATCTTATCTACATGGGTCTGGTTAAAAGAGATGGGGTAAGATTCTTATGATTCAATAGTAATAGTTATCATGACTAATGGCGACTGTCAACAATTATAAAGGTAGAAGTTTTCTAACAAAAACGGGGGAGTTGTAATCTTACAATCCAGAAACAAAGGACTATCAAGGGAGAAGAGCACAATCGGAATGCGAGACTTTATCCAGATAAGTGGTGAAACCAGAGACGGAGGCAGAGATGGGGACATGGAGAGAGGGAGCAGCTGAGGACCTAGATTAATGTGAAGAGAGGGACCAAGAGATGGTGGCCAGGAGGCAGACTTGCAGAATGTGCCCTTTGGTGGTATACATTATGACATATACCCGAGTGTTTAAAAAAGAAAAAGAGCTGAAGTGAATAGAGAGAAATACTGGTTTATGATGGTACCTAGAGAGGATTATAAATACTGTAATGAAACAAGGTATATGATTTGTTGACTGTAAAACTGATGATCTCCCCTGTAAACTTCCACTCAATTCACAATAAAAACTTAAAAAAAAAAAAAGGTATTCACAATGAATAAGTCTTACAAAATTCTATCATGTGGTCTCTAGCATCGTTTCTATCACTAAAGCCATATTTTCCAACTACTGATCCTTCCTCTTTGTTTCCAACCTTTGCAGTCCAATCAACAATAATTATCAATACATGCTAATTTCATGTTTGTTCAATTTCAGACTGAAGAATTTGGTATATTCTTCAACTTCATCATCACTGGCTTTGGTGGTTGGTGCATAAAATTGGATAATAGTGGTATTAACTGGTCTTCCTTGTAGGCATATTGATATTATCCTATCACAGACAATGCTGCACTTCATGACTGAGTTTGATGATTTTTTGATGATATGACGCCATTCCTCTTCAGTTTGTCTTTCCTGGCATAGTATTTTCACTCCATTTCTTTTTTACTATTTCTAATTTTTCTAGATTCATACTTAGTACATTCCATGTTCTAAGTATTAATGGGTATTTACAGCTGAGTCTCATTAACAACCTGCGATACGCAGATGATACAACCTTGCTTGCTGAACATGAAGAGGACTTAAAATACTTACTGATGAAAATCAAAGACCACAGCCTTCGGTATGGATTACATCTCAATGTCAAGAAAACAAAAATCTCACCACTGGGCCAGTAAACAACATTCTTATCAACAGAGAAAATATTGAAGTTGTCAAGGACTTCATTCTTCT